TAGTGGAAGACACACTGTGCAACACAGCTGTGAACCAGGGACTTTGACTTGGAGGACCTAGGGGTTAGCAGTGGATCTAGCTTACATGGATTGATGAGACTGTTGTAGCCCAGAGGACAACATGGAGATTTACAGAGTGCTGTGAAAGCCCAGAGGAATGAAAGCATCTTTTGTTTGGGAAATTCAAGTTCAACTTCTGGGAGGTACCAGTTGCCCTCATGTTGGAATACTTGCAATTTGTACAGAAAGTAGCCTTAGGTTCCACTGATCTAGCCTCCTTTTCTCTTTCTCAGACCATGCACTTCCATCTAGCACTTAATATCTCCAAAAAAAAAATGTTATTCACCCCCAAAACTTCCATTTCAAGGAGCATATTTGGAAATTCTTTTGAGATGAAAAGGGAGGAGTCTTTTAAGCCTAGTCTTGACAGTCTCATGCAGTCTTCACATTCTTCAGACCTCAAGCCACTTTCCCCCAAATTCTCAGACATTAATCTCATGGTTCCCAAAGATCAAGTCTCCTGTTACTCTCACTCTAACTTATATAATTCTAACCCTGTTCACAGCAAAACCTCTTCACATAAGTGTCCCCATACATGTGGCTACTGCCAGACCTCCATTTGATCCCCTCCTCCCCCTGCAGAGTAGTCCTTGCTCATGTCATGAGTAGCCTCCATGTTGCTAAATTCAGTGTGCCCTTTTTGGTCATCATCTTATTGGTCCCTGAGCTGCACTGAACTCAGCACACTGCTTTGAAGCTCATTCTTCCCTTGGCTTCCATGGTAATCTCATCCCAATTTTCTTCCTGCCTTTCCTGACTGCTCCACCTCAGTCTCCTTTGCAGATTCATTTTCCTCCTGGGCCACTGTCCTTTTCATTCTAAATTCTCTTTCCAAGCCACTTATTTGCTGCCTTGATTTCAGATGGTCGGTGGTTGTCAAGTACACAAACAAAAATAGTCATAGAAATGGCAGGAATTTACAAAAATGCATAGTAAATATATAAATGAGTTCTCCTTTCATCTGTTTTATTTTCATGATGTTTCTAATGTGTAATTATTTGAGTGGTACTTCACATTTTTTCAAACCATTCTTAATGTAGCTATAAACAGGTTCCAAGCTAGAAATGAATTAGAGTCCTGTCTGATTGCAACCTATTCCTTCTGCAGATGAACAAACTGAAATCCACGGAGCTTAAGTACTTTCCTTAGAGTCACACAACTGGTTCATGTCTTACTCGAATCTACAACAACTCTGTGAGGGCATATGGATTCATCATTATTTAAGAGATGAGAAAACTGAGGTATTGGTAATTTGAGTCTTGGACAAATTTTCAAAACTCCTAAGTTGCAGAACAAGAACTAAACACCAGCCACTAGTTCCCAGGTTGTTGGCACAGACCTTACTGCTTCTCTGCAATTATAGAAATGTTGTAACTAAATTATATTTGAAAGCTGAGTTATCTTTTTTTTAAAAAAAGGCAAACACACAACAAATTCAGCCTGACAGGATTGTGGAGAGGAGGGCAGGGAGGAGGAGTTGCAAAGTAATATGAATTCTAAGTGTTTGTCCAGATGTAAAGACTTGGTTAGGTTTTTTTTAAAACCCAGGCCCTGTGTTAATTTAAAGTGTCTATGTTGTTTTTTCCTCCTTTCCCCTTGGTATGATCCACTTTCATTGTAAGTGGCCATGCCTTGACACCCATGGCCAAACCTACCTAGCTTCAGATCCCAAACTCTGTGCTGCCTGAATTCTCAACATCCCAGGCCTCTCTGTCTCTGTAGAAGGAATCCTGAGATGGGCATAGAGGGAGATTTACCTGAGCTATTGTGCATTGTAGCCATATGAGGGGCTAGGCTGGCATTGCAGGGAGAGATCCCATGATGCAGGTGGACCTCCCTCTCAAGCTCTGCCTAAGATCCCACACAGCACCTGAGATGGGTGTGAACTCACCAAGATGTCAATAGACCTCACCAAGCAAGATTCCACACTTGAAACCTTATCCCCTGCCTTATTTGGTGAAGAACATTTTATTGAAACTCCTTTGCTAGTCCCCTTATGAAAATAAAGAGATTCCAGGTGCATGCTCTCTTCTCCAGAGCTCTTTCCAGCGTGGAAGCTGACCCTTAAGGTCTCAGAACCATCCCTCCCTCAATTAGAAAACTACTGTCTGTGTTGTGTGGTTTTTTGCCTCTTAGCTTAATGTTGCAGCCAGTTCTTTTAAACCCAGTTTATTTGCGCGGGTCACTGGTAAGAGTATTTAGTGTTCTAAACTTGTTGCTCAGATAGTAAGAGTCTTCACAACTGAAGATTAAAAGAAAATTTTGCTAAGCAAGATCTAATAATATCATGCTAAGTGAAATAAGTCAATTTCCAAAAACCAAAGGCTATGAGGATGCTAATTCACAATGGGGGGTTGGAGTGGGGAAGAATACAAATACTTTGGATTAGACAAAGGCAAATGAAGGGAAGAAAGGGGGAATGGGAATAGGAAAGACAGTAGAATGAATTGGATGTTACTTTCCTATATGCATATATGATTACAGGATCAATGTAATTCTACATCATGTACAACCAGAAGAATGAGAAGTTATACTCCATGTATGTATGATATATCAAAATATGTTCTATCATTATGAACAAATAAAAATATATAGTAAAAACTAATTCACCTATGCAGACACCCAGCCCCAGGCATGCTGCACTGTACCCAGTTGAGCTCACCTGAATGGCCCTGTCCTCACGCAAACCAAGGGGTGGTATGGATGTAAAAATTCTCAACAAAACACTAGCAAATGGAATCCAAGCACACATTGAAAAGAGTATATACCATGATCAAGTGGGGCTTTTCTCAGGGATGCAATTTTTTTTTTTTAATTCTAGGATTCCACAGCAGCTACTTTCAAGAGTCATATCAGTTCTAAGTTCATAACTGTTGATACTCGTGACCTAAAATATTGTCTATTTTAGAAAATGCTCCATGTGCTCCTGAGAAGTAGGTAAATTTAGTCATTGATGGATAAATATTCTAAAGATGTCTGTTAGGGTCACATTATTAATCATAGTTTTTAGTTCTGTAGAATCTGGATGTCTATCTAGTGATGAGACAGTTGTGTTACAGTTACCCAATATTATTGTATTCTGGTCTATTTGATACTTATTATTGAGAATGGTTTGCTTTATGTATGTAGATGCACCATTGTTTGGGGCGTGAATATTTATAAACATTATATCTTGTTGCATGATTCCCTCAAGCATATGAAGTGAGCTTCTGTGTCTCTTTGGATTAATTTTAACTTGAAATCCATTTTGTCTGATAGGAGAATAATTGGTCCTACTTATTTAAGAGAATTATTTGCATGGGATTTTTCCCCTATGCTTTCACCTTCAGTTTGTGGATGTCTTTGCCTATGAGGTGAGTCTCTTGCAAACAACATATCATTGGGTCTTGTTTTTTATTTTTATCTAATCTGCCAACCTGTGTCTCTTTTTCTTTAATTTTGTTTTATTTTTTAGTTGTAGATGGACACAATACCTTTATTTTATTTATTTACTTTTATGTGGTGCTGAGGATCGAATTCAGGGCCTTACACGTGCTAGATGAGTGCTGTACCACTAAGCCACAACCCAAGCACCAAACTTTGTCTTTTGATTGAAGAGTTTAGACCATTTATATTCCATGTTATTATAGAGAGATGCTCTTTAATTTGTGCCATTATGATGTATCTGTAATGTTTAAATCAGACTTTATTCTCATTTAATTGACTATTCTAGTGTAGTTCATCCCTATGCTGATTTTAAATTTTTATTTTTCCTTTCTTCTTCATGAAATATTTCATTGAGTATGTTTCATAGTGCAGGTTTTCTGGTTATGAATACTTTTAGCTTCTGTTTATCATGGAAGGGTTTTATTTCATCTTCAATTGTATGTTTTTTTTTTTTTTTTTGAACTAGGGATTGTACCCAGGGGTGCTTAACCACTGAGCTATGGTTTTTTTTTTTTTTTTTTATGTTGAGACAGGGTCTTGCTAAGTTGCTTAGGGCCTTGCTAAGTTGCTGAGGTTGACTTTGAACTTACAATCTTCCTGGGTCAGCCTCCTGAATTACTGGGATTACAGGCATATGCCACCACACCTAGCCCTGGCCACTGATTTGCAGTGATCTGTGAGGAGACACCAAGGGTTTGCTCAACAGGTACATCCACTCACAGTGAGGGTTACAAAGAAGACCCATGGCTCAGAGAGAAAGGGGAAGAGGGGGAAATATGTATGTCTGGCTTCTTTTTGTTTCCCAAGTGGTCAAGGCTCACCCATGGGCAGTTAATGCCCCAGAACTTCTGCTTTTTTCCATTCAGTCTCTCCTCAGAGGCTGCTCAGGAATCATATCTAAAGCCTTATTTCATACTGATATATTTATGTCCAAAAATGAAGTTCAGATTCATGCAGTGGTTGGGCAAGGATCCAAGAGAGCTAACAGTGACTGCCAGCATCTTAAGGCCTGGCTGAGGCTAGAAGTCCACACGTGGACTTCTAGCACACTCTATTGGTCAAGGCAAGTCACAGGTCAGTCCAGATTCCAGGTTCATGGAAACAGACTCTACCTCTCAAATTGAAGCTGCAGAGGCACCTTGTAAAGGGTCTGGATCCCAAGAAGGAAGTGATGGGGGCAGTTATCACACAGAATCTAGTAAGAAGTTAGCCAGGCCAGAGGAGTGGGAGGAGGCCCAGTATTTTAGCAAAATGCTCCTGCTTTACCAGAGCTAAAGCTTAGAGGGACTAAAGCAAAGATAAAGGCTGGATCTAGAAGGCTCTTGGGTGCCAGGCTAGGGCACTCGGATTTTTCTTGGAAGGAATCAGAGAAACACAAAGAAGAGGAAATGAACATAAATTCATTTTTGAAAAACCTTTCCATTTGGATGTAGAGAACAGTGTAGCCTAGGCAGGACCAGAGGTTGGAGGCTTCATGGTCTGCAGTTAAGGAAAGGAGATAAATCCATGTATTCAGAGAAGTGAATGAATTCCACATTGGCTTGGGCTGATTGAAAAATGCCCTTCTTGTTCAGTTCAATACCAGGCGTATTTTCAGAATTTTGTTATCCTCAGTCACCTAAAAAAAGAAACAGAGTAATTAATGACCACCTGCCAGCCCTCAAAGGATGGACTTCTGTGCTCCTGGTGCTGTCAAACACAGTCCAGCTTCAAGGTATGTCTGAGTGGTTCCAACAGGCCTGGTACCCTTTGAGTGGAAATTCTGAGATGGGTGTTGTTGGACCAGGGGCTCTTGATGTCACCACTTTGTGCTTGGCCCATCTTGAGAGCTGGTTTGATGTGATCTAGCTACAGAAAACTGCTCAGATCAAACAGTTTTGCAAGAGTCTGAACATAAAAATCCAGAATGCTACTTTATGTTCAATGGAAAATATGGACTAGATAAGAAATGTACAATCACTGCTCAGGGCCTTCTTTCTCAATAAGCAAAGCTACACAGAATGCTGAATGAGATCAAGGTGCTTAATAACTTCATCTCCTGAGCCTCAGTTTCCATGTCTGGAAGGTGAGAGTAATAACCCCTTTCTCCCATGAGTTGTTACAAGGACTAAACAAAATAACACGAAACACACATAGCACGTGGATGTGAATATATATATTCAGTGAGCCTAATAATTAATTGCTGAAATACATTTTAAACTGAGTACAGTATGAATAATTTTATAATCAATAACACTATAAATAGCCATGTCAGATATATACATTCTTGACAATCAGATCTAATTAATTCAGAAGTCAAAAAAATTGGAACCTGGCCAAGGTGAATCCTGAAGTACCTAATAAAGGTAATACATAAGAAATAAAAGTTGATCAAAAACTCACCTGTAAAACTCTCCTTGAGGTAGTGTTTGGCTTGGTGTTTTTTGTATGGCCTTGCCTGGTTTTCTGGTAAGTCCCTGGAAAACATTAAAAGAATCATCTCTTGAAGTGACTTCCACTGTCGATTTTGCTTTAACTATTCATGTCAAGGTCATCTCCCAATTAACAGTGCCTCATGATACTGTTTACAGCACAAAGTAGTGATTTGGTTTCAGGACTTTTTCAGTTTGAAAGATTTCTTCTCACCATGCTTTCATTTATCCAGAATGTTTTCCCAGGGAAGCTTCATTCCATTTAACTGCTCTTTCTGAGTTTTGTTTTTTTCTCTGGATCATTCTGTGTTTTTCTAAACATGAGAGAGAAGCTTGTTAGAGGGTTGGGTTTAATGTCCCAGGAAAAATGAGTGCAGAGTAAAACTGAGTCTGAAAAGAGTCCAGGGGAAGGAAAGCCTTTGGCAAAATTCTAACTTCTCTATCAAAAAAGAACAACATACTGTGTTCACTGATGCTAAAGTGAAGCCCAAAGAGACGCTATCAACACTAGCCCTAGGTGATAATCTACACACTTACATAAAGTGAAATTATGTGAGATGTGCCAAGACATGTTGATTGTGGATGATATTAATTACTGAAGTAATAGCATCTTCAAAACCTTTTATGAGGTCAGATTCATTAATCTGTAACATATTTGGTCGTAGGCATCTAAGGACCTAGGTGTCATGGTGAACAAACCATTTCTAGAGGATGGGAAGTTTCACCTGGTCTTGAATAAGAGGAGGAAAGAAGAAAATGATGGTGTGAACAGAGACACCAAGATGGATTTACAGGATTGTGAGTGAATCATTTGAATCATTTCTTCCAAACTGATCAGCTAGACCTGGATCCTTTTAATAGCCAAGTGAAAGGAAATTGTTGAGAAGCTTAATTTTTAACAGAGCAGCTATGAACTCCACAAAATAAGGTCAGTTGCTTTCACTCTCTGGTCATAAAAGGTCTCTGTTGTGCTGGAACCTGGCACAATATACAGGATAAAGGTCTGGGATGATCTCGAGGCACATCATGAAAGCTAAGAGCAATGTGGGAACTGTCACACCTGTTTGAAGCCAGCTTCTCTGTAGCTTTGCAGACCAAAAACCATGGGGCCTGCATCAGCAATGACTCACATAGCCAAATACCCTGGGTTCTAACTGCAGAGACAGGGGCCCTGCCCAGCTGTGGTGGGTCTTCCTATTACAATCAGGATGCCAGAACTCCAAGTTCTTTAGGGGTGGAAGACCCATGTGAACAAACCTCATCCCACCCACTACTGCACCTGGTAGGATTCGGTTTCTGAGGCTCAAGTAGGACCCGTCTTGGTTTTGAGAAGGCCAATGAAAAGCACACTGGATCAGCATAGTGACAAGAGAGTCCAACTTCTTAGAGGAAGAAGAAAACTTAGAGGTCACTCCAACTCACCATTGCACAGAATCACCCAGCCTGTTAGTGACAGAGCTGACCCTCATCTCTGTCATGGGTCCCTGTATTTTGTGAAAATGTTTTGTTGTTCAACTCCATGAACTGTCCTTGTAAACTTACCTCCAGTGTGTTTCTTACACTATCATTTACCTTTTCCTTCCTCCCTAAATCATTCCTTTACTCTCCTTTTGTCCTTTGCTTTCTTCTCAGAAGAAAAGGTAACATCCTCCATCCCAATGTTTACCTTATTTGTCATGTTTTAGCCAATCTGGGCTACTATAACAAATTTCCATAGACAGGGTGACTGAAACAATAAAAACTTTGTTTCTTATGGTTCTGGAGGCTGGAGGTATAAGATTAAGGTGCTAGCATGGTTGGACTCTGGTGGAGAGCCCTCCTCTTGACTCACAGATGGATGCCTTCTCCTTGTGTTCTTCCCTGGAAGAGAGCAGAGAGAGACAACTCTCTCCTGCTTCTTCTTACAAAGGCATTAATCTCATGAGAGCCCCATCCTCGAGACACAATTACCTTCTGTCTTAGTCCTTTCTGGATGCTATCACAAAGTAACACAAACTAAGTAATTTATAAACAACCGAAATTTATTCTCTAACTGCTCTGGAGGATGGAAGTCTGAGATCCAGGCATCAGCAGATTTCATGTCCAGTGAGAGCTGCTCTCTTCTTCCAGGATGGCACTTCAATGCTGCATCTGCTGAAAGGGATAAATACTATGTCCTCACATAGTGCAAGAGTTGGAAGGGAACGGTACCAGGACACATCCTTCATCCTCTATTATAAACACTCATCCCATTCAGAGGACCAAGCACTCCTGGCTTCCCCTGAGGTCCCACCTTCTAATACCATCACAGTGAGATGAGGGTTTCAACATGTGCATCTGGGAGGGACACAAACATTCAGCCCATAGCAGTCCTTTTATATGTGATTTGCTGGCCACTCCCTCCTCAGCTGTGGGTCACAGCCCTCTCTCTTTTTCTCTGGCTCACATCCTCCATGTTGGCACTTCCTAAGGAGACTCCTGACTTGCTGGTCATCTCACTGCCTCTGGGAGCCTTCATCAGGAGTTACGGATTCACCCTCTGCTTGTGTAACTTCAATGATTCTACATTTGTTTCCAGCTCATATCTATTTCTGGAGCTCTAGACCCATATAGCAAACTGACTGTAGACATATCTCCTTAAAGTCTCTTCGAATATCTTAAATAGAATCATCAGAACATCTCAGCTGCCCCTTTTCTTGTAATCTGTGCTCTGAGTGGCTCCATCAGACACCTTTCACCACAAGCCAGGAACCCAGATGTTTGCCTTGATTACTTCTCTTCCACATCCATAGCAGATCAGTCAGTTTTATAGATTCTACTTTCTTAACCGTCTTGAATCCATTTCCTCAGTTAACTCTGTCTTAATTTAGCTCTTCCACTGGGAACCTACATTTATACTTTAAAACTTAGTCAGCTCCAGTGTCAGTCATCTTTCCCAGAAAGCTTTCAAAGAGCCTCTTCAGGCCATTATGTAAGTTTTTCTTTTTTTTCCTCTTCTAACAGACCATAAATCTCTAAAGGCAAAGCACCCCTACTCTGCAATCTTCATACCCAGCACTGCACTCAATGATTGTTAAATGCACACATGCATGAGTAAATAAGTGAACAAAGTGAGAAAGTAATGTTTTCATAGCCAATCATAAAAGTAAGATATAGGGATGTAGTAGCTCAGTGGTAGAGCATGTGCCTAGCATGCGCAAGGCCCTGGGTTCTATCCCCAGTATCACCACACACTAAAACCAAAACCAAACCAAACAATAAATGTAAGTTATGTGGTTATATATAGGATGTTTCCATGTTTCCCTACAGCTTTCCACAAGTTTGTTTTCTTCTTAAAAATTTTTAAAATTTGTTCTTTTTAGATATACATGACAGTAGAGCATATTTAGAATAATTATACATACATGGAGTATATCTTCCTATTCCTGTCGAATTTACATGATGTGGAGTTTCACTGGTCATGTATTCATATATGAACATTAAAAAGTTATGTCTGATTCATTCTGATGTCTTTCCTATTCCCATACCCTCTTCCTTCCCTTCCTTCCCTTGTCTAATCGAATGAATTTCTAATCTCATCCCCCCTGCCCCCTACCCCCACACACTTTGTGTGTTAGCATCCATGTATCTGAGAGAACATTCAGCCTTTGGTTTGGCGGGATTGGCTTATTTCACTTCTCTAATTCCATTCATTTACCGGCAAATGCCATAATTTCATTCTTTAAGGTTGAGTAATATCCCATTGTGTATATATACCACATTTTCTTTATCCATTCATCTGTTGAAGGGTACCTATGTTGATTCCATAGCTTAGCTATTGAGAATTGAGCTGCTATAACATTGACATAGTATGCTGATTTTAAGTACTTTGGGTATATACTGAGAAGTGAGATAACTGGGACAGATGGTGGTTCCATTCCAAGTTTTCTGAGGAGTCTCCATTACTGCTTCTCCACAAGTTTTATCATTTTTTTTTCCTGCCTGTTTCCTTCTCTTGTGTTTCTGTTTCATTATCTACATTAGTAAAATAAGTCTTAGGACTCAGGGCAGAGCTGGGGGTGGAGCTCGGTGGTAAGGAGCTTTCCCAGCATTGTGTAAGACACTGGGTTTGATCTCCAGCACCACAAGAAAAAAATTTCAGGGTATACTCTGGTGCTTAATTCTAATTTCCTGAGCCAGAGGATTAAGTGAATGTAGATATTCAAAGGAAATTGAATTTGTAAACCAGACAAAGTTAACAATCGGAAATATTTTCCTAGAAGAAAGAGTCTCTTTATGTCCTTCCTGAGGCTGGCTATAGAATTACCACAATGATACAATTTATCTTCCTTCCTGACTTTGTGGGATAGTTTGCTGTTGTGATTCATTTTAAGGTGAAATGTTGTTGGAGGGTGAGAGCAAGTAATAGAATCTAAAGTTGGAGACATCCATCATGGACAAATCCCATGGTGATGATGATCCTGTGGTATTCTCACAGAAAATTGTTCTTAGCTGAATCTTACCAATTTCCAGATTGGCTGTGCTGATTGCTATTCACCTCACATTTGTTGAGCACTCACATCATGCTGCATGTGACACACCTGGGAAAGCCATCTGCCCAGCCCATCAAGATTTTTTTTCTTTTTAGAACAAATGGAATGAGGACAATGAATACCACATGGAAATCACTTTGTCAAATCCTCTTTAGCTTTTTTGTTTGCTTGTTTTACTTAAGAAAAGGGGTTTATTCTGGCTCTGGTTTTAGAAGTAGAAGGTTATGTGCTACAACTGTTGATGGAATTTCTGGAGGTGATTCAGCATCACATGGCAAGAAACAGCAGCACGTGTCTCCTCCTTAGCTTGTGTATTTCAATAAACTCTGACTAAAGGAAACTTATTTGGGGAAAAGGTTATCCTATTTATTTAGGTAGGATTTTTTTTTTATACATACTGTGTCAGAGGAAAGTCTCTGAACTAGATCAATAACCTCAGGCCAAGGTCTTGTTCTCCCTTTTTAAGTAAATAGGTGAAAGAGTGACAGAGGTAACGTGGGGTACTTACAGCTTTAGCTGTGGAATTTTTCCCAGGCTGTTGGAAAATCCAAAATCTGGACAGGGCTTCCTGGTCACATGGAGACCTCTGTCAGTTCAATACTCTTTTATGGTGCTCATAGTGTATTGGGAAATGAGGGTCAGGACACGGAGATCTGGAAGCAACACTATTAGTGGCGCCATGGCTCAGAGGGATAATTCCCCCCAAAAAAGTGCAGCAGGGCTTTTACTTTGTATATAAGAAAGTTTTGGGGACATCAAGGCAAAAGAGTTGGCGCAATTCTATTGGAAGGTACATTCCACATT